GACTAGTTTTTAATGAATCTATAGTACATTAAAGAATGGGGCAGGAAAACGAATATAATCTAGAGATTAAGTCTATGAGGTGGATAACTGGATTGTTTTTGCTTGACAAGAAAACATTTTTCAGTTAATATCAGAAATTTGGGACATAATAACATGTTTTCCTGTAATAGAGCATAAGACATGCACAAAATCTCACTCAATTGGCTAATCTCTTATCTAAATGATAATGCTGACCTGAATTTTTTGGGGATGTCCCATAATGTTTTTAGAATAGGGCAGGTATATTTCTAATTTGAGACTTTTATATGTAGTATGATTGTGATTTATAAATATTGTCATGTAAAGCCATCTTGTATGAATATTTATGTAAATATTCAAATTTCTTAAAATCCATATTTAAAAATTGTTTACTGTCAAATTAAGTAAATTAGTAAAAACAAATCCCGTTTGAGTTGCTGCATTGCGCATTAGACATTATGTAGGATTGTGTGAAATCATACGTACAAATTTAAGTATTAAGAATATCCATCAACACGAAAACCTATTTAGTAATGAAAATGCTGATAAATGCTACACTATGTCTATTACGCGCAAACTTGTTCCAGTCAGATTCATATATAACACTGATAATTCGCAACTTAACATGTGTGAGTTTCATGACTTGGGTATATTCTTTGATACCAAAGTTACATTTGTTTCGCATATAGATGCTGTTGTTAGCAAGGCCAAGACCTCGTTATATAATTCATTTGTTCGATCCAAAATTGAATACTGCTCTATAATATGGTATCCTGTTCATGAAGTTCACTCGAATAAAATTGAACATATTCAGAGGCGGTTTGTGAAATATTTGTGGCACAAGGAAGATGGTACGTATTCAGAAGTTGGCTTCAGGCATGATGTATTACTTAGCAGATATAACCTCTGTAACTTGGAGAAGCGCAGAAACTACGCTGCTTGTGTATTTTTATATAAAATGCTTAATAATGCCATAGATTGTGAATATTTACTCGATAAGATTCTTATTCATGTACCTAATGAAGACGTGATCCAATTCAAAATACTTTTACTTAAACGTAGCTAGAACCAATGCGTTGCTTTCCTCTCCGATACATGTAGTATGTAACAACTATGAACGTGCAAGAAACGCAGTAGATTTGTTCTTTTGTAATTTGCGTAGCTTAAAAAGATTTTACATAACAGTAGGTTAAGTCATTTGGCAATTTTAAGTTATTTTGAACAAGTTTGCCTTAAAATTGATTCCTGTTTCCTATCCGTTAAATGGTGTAATAAACCGTTCGGATGGTGTATATACTAGTAAATAAATAAATATTTTAAGAGTACCGGCATTACTTCCCATGGATTTTCCAAGGCGTGTGACCTTTTTTCAGTGGTATCTTCAAAGAATTACACAAAATCCGCAATTTTAATCAATGATTCTGTTCACGGACGAAGCTAATTTTTCTCGAAATGCCATTCAGAATTTCCATAACAATTATTTGTGGGCAGAAGAAAATCCCTATGCCGTAACCGAAACCCATTTCTAACACCAATTTTCAGTTAACGTATGGGCAGGAATTATTGGCAACCACTTTATTGGCCCATTCTTCTTGCCGGGACGACTTGACGGACAGACTTACCTCAACTTTGTTCAACGACAGTTGCCTTTGCTGCTTGATGATGTTCTGTTGGTAATAAGAAACAATATGCACCAGCGCATTTCAGTGTAGAGGTTCGTAATTATTTGCAAACTATTTTATCCAAATCGTTGGATTGGCCGCGATGGGCCCCAAGAATTGCCACCAAAGTCCCCAGACCTCAACAGTTTAGATTTCTTTTTGTGAGTCTATCTTAAGATACTAGTGTACACAAGTTCCAATAACACTGTAGAGGAATTAAGAGAAAGAATAGTTGCAGCTTGTGATAGAATAAAAAACACTCCAGGGATATTTCAACGAGTGCTCAATTCCATTAGAAGGAGGGCGGAAGCATGCATACTAAGTGAAGGGGGCCATTTTCAACAATTTTTGAAATGATTTCGTTGGTTTTAATGTTATGTTTATGTTGTCAGTTGTTGTTGTTCATTACCCCTAATGTGTTTAATTTTTCCAATTAAATTAATAATAATTTTGCAAATTAGACAGTAGAACGGTTTTAATTTTTTTACTCAAAAATGGCGCATTGGAGGAAAACAATTCAAGAGAGTTCATTTGTTTTAAATTAAATGGGGAATTTGGCAAAAAGCCATTGGTGTATCATTTTTTCTTAAAAAATATCAATGTCAATACCTGTACGCACGCCACTGCTTGAAATTATTTTTGTATTGAAAAATATGCAACTTTATTAACTTTCACTATGTACTAAATATCAGTGAAAAAGCTGAAGCGGTCCTGAAAATATTAATTTCTCTTTTTTTTACTAAAACTTCAACACCCCAAGTTTTTGTAAGGAAACATTTTTGGATCATAGTTCATAAAGCAAACTAACATTAGTTTTTCATGTAGATTCACACCCTTAAATATTCGCATATAATTAAGGAATACCCTGTATATATGCATGGTAACTTACATCACGTCATCTATAAATCCCTTAGCATTTTCAGGTATAGGAATGGACTCATTAGTTGAATTCTGTTGTGACTGTATAAGATCAGACCTTCTTTTATATGATTCTTCCACAGCATCCTTATATTTCTCAATATCTTCTTTATTTAAGTAAGAAATTCCTTCTTTAAATAACTTGTTGAAATCGAATGATTCATTAACAAGAAAATGTATGCTAGAAGTCTGACACAAGAACCTCTGATCAGGTACATTCTTGTTAACCGGCCTTCTAAATATATAGAAGTTGAAGTCTTTCTTTTTGAAAGTATTGCTTTCTGCATCATATCTGAATGTACACAGTCCATATTGTATTATCAAAAATTCTTTACAGTTCCTTCTCACTTTTTGATAATACTCTTGAGGCGTATCTAATGCGTTTATATTACGAGTTATGTTCAAACCTGTGAACTCACAATCAACAGCCATAAACGTGCATCTCTCGATAGCCTCTTGAATCTGGGGCAATGCTTCGCTGAAATCTAAAAGCTAGGTTAAATTAGAACATACACTGTATTTTAAAGAACTTGCTTGAGTTTGTGACCTCCATGGTTTCCCCTCTTATAGAAAAATGCTAATTACTCAAGTTCAATTAAGCAATAACATAGTACAAAAATTATAAACAAATCCTACATGCAGGGTTGCCAGGTGGATCAAACAGAATACCCCCAAAACACTGACAAAAATCCCCCAGATTTGCAACTTTATTTAAAAAAATCCCCCAAATCATATTTCAGCAGATTTCAATAGCGAGTGTTAGAGGCTGGACTAGTTGGAAGATCACGGGCGGGAAGAATGTATAAAATGAAAAATAATATATTTTTCCAACGAATTGAGTATTTTTCAAGCTTATGAGAAAAACTTGTTTCTTGAGCCACGATTGCCCATGGTCATAAAACGATATACGCATTCGCTGACACTTCGTCATTTGGGGAAGGAGAGGAAAATCTAGAATGATATAAAGGCTCCTACAATTGTAGAAACGACTGACGATACAGCCCTAAATCAGGGCCAGTGGGACTCTGTGTCACATGGAATTCCATCAATTGATTCAATTCCATACGACTGGCACTCCGTGTGCAAAAATAGTCGCATGAAAGTGTAAGTTAATGATAGGAAAGGAAATAAAGTTTCACGATTCTCTGGGTTTCACATAGATGAGAAACACTTATTTAATCGCGCCATCTAACGCACAAAAACAAAATAATATTTTGCCGCTATTGAAGGAAACTGTAATGTAGGTGCTTCAGAATAATTTTAATAGTTGTTGAAAGATGGCAGGATTATCTGTAAATGAATTTATATTTATTCAAAGTTGTTCTCGAATTCCAATAATTCAATTGAAACTTGAAAATTGGTCGGACGACAGAATGTCTTCTTAAAATCGCACCCCAAAAAAACCCCAAAACGGAATAATTTTCCCCCAAAAAATCCCCCACGCATTGTATACCCCCAAAAATTCCCCCAAGCAATGAAAAATACCCCAAATTTGGGGGAAAATCCCCCAATCTGGTAACCCTGCCTACATGTTAATCCACAACGTTAAAGTGTGAATCAGAGATGTGTGAAACTGTGAATTGTCAATCACAAAATATCTATAATCAAATTCAAGCGGATAACCAAATGGAAATGGTATTTACCATTTTGGGTTGGTATTTACCAATCCGTTCAAGCGAGTGTATCAGTTTGGTTATAAGATCTGTGACGTCACGAATCAGCTGTTATATGTCATAGTTATCACCGCAAAATTGTGGTATTTACCCAACTCAAGAATAATTTTATATATCTAGTTATTATTTGAAATGTGACAAGTTAAAATTTTGCCGGGTATTGGATATTGTTATTGTACTTCAGCTTCATTTTTGAGAAAAATGATACAGGCTGACTTCAGTTTTACCATAAAGTGGAGCACCTTATTAGTTATACTCATTACGGTTGTTGGGGACACTTTAAATGTAGTTCCTATGCTTAACAAAGTATCCTGTGTAGCCATATACCACAAAAATATTAAAATATGGCCATATAAACTTACTAGATGATATCCACCTGTGTACGGTTTTGCTAATTTCTTTTTTCATCATTTCTGCTGAATCAATAAATGTTTTCTTTGACATGCGGAAAAATTTAGAGAATAGAAAGTTATCATAGCTACAAAGCCATGGTTCCATCATTAAAAAAAAAACTGAAAAAAGCATTTCTCCCATGAATATTATGAAAGGTTTCTTATTTAAACTTTCCATATACAGTTGTAGACGAAAAAGCACCGATTATTAAGTGATAATAAAAATAATCAGAGACTATATACGCGCTTTTCTAAAATAAACAACTTGCAACAAAACCGCGGTTAAAACCAACGCGTTCAAGCGATTCGTGTAACTGACGTCATCAACCCGTGTGTCATCTTGAACCATATTATAACCGCGGCACATAACACAGAAATTTTGGTTATTCGCTTGGATTTGATTCTATTTGCGCTTGTGTTGACGCTTCAGTGTTATGTGTTCTGTGAATGACGCTACTGACCGTTAAATGTACAAAATATATCCATTCAAAGTTTTCCAGCACTTGGACAAAAACAAGAATCAAAAAATTGTATGTCCACTTTTTTCCATCCGTGTAGGTACTGTAGTCTTCTGCTGCGCTGCAGTTAAATATTCACGATGTTTTTTGAGGTAAGCATTGTTTTAATATTCCAAGGATGTTTCTAAAACTCTGAAGTATAGCAAGTTTTTTCATAAAGGTATGAACTAAATCGGCATAATGCGTAACTCCTTTACTATACGAGTTTGACAGTCTGCTGTTAAAGTCTAATTTTCGAGAGAAGAAATAAAAAAGACAAGAAACCGAGGATAACTAATACTTCAGTACGAGATGCGGTCACATAAGATCCAGCATCCGTTCACAATCACAAAAGACCTAGATTAGCATTTCTTTAACAATCTGATCATATAAAACTATGATTAATTCTTTAGATTGACTGCTTTTCTCATATAATTTTCATAATCTATCTTTGGCATTTTTTGTTAAAAGAGATTCGCTACTCTGCCAGTAAAAACTCTGTACTTTTTGAGCAAAAGACGCCTGGCCTACACTGATGAGTAGAAGTCAAGTCCGTTACCACAGAAACTTACTATGAATATTTCAGAGGGCACAAATAATGACATCAGCTTACACTGTACGGATTTTTGCAAGAGTTGTTATTTTTAGTGATTAGTTCAGTTAAAGTCTTATATAGTATTTAAGCACCAATCATCTGATGTGTTCAAAAAATGGAGATACTTTTCTTTTTTATATTTAGCTAAAAAACAAGATAAGGATTTATTTTATGGGATATGTAAACAGTGAAACCTAAAAAGACCAACTGAGAAGAAACATTTTTGTTCACAAATTACAAAAATAAGTAATGATAATCGATTCCTATGGTTTCCTTAACCCTTTTGCAATGGAGGATCTTGTTACGAAATCTGTCTGTCCTTACAGGGAAAACGCCACTTGCTGATTTATACGGTCCAAATCAACATTTTATGATGTGCTGATCTATCCACTTCCCATTAGGAATGACTGTACATCTTTGTATTTTTTATTATATTCTTTAGTGAAATAGCAATAATTTAAAAAATAAAATTTCAATTTCCAAAGACAATTTCATACATAAATGTTATCCCAAATACATACATATATTTATGTAAATAACAAAAATATAACATAAGTAACAAAATCTGAATAAACAAAAATGCAAATGGAACGTTCAAAATTTTAACACAGTGTTGCACTTCGTCGCCGAGTTGCAGACGTTGCACATTTTGGCGATGGTAAGGATGTAAAACTTTCCAACTTAAAATTCTCCACGCGAGACTTTGGGAACAAGGTAACTGGGCTGTAATCCACCTAGTACTTGTACTAGGATCATCCAACGCCAAATTAATGACTTCCAGTTCCTCTAGAAAAGTATGCTGGACACCATGGCCTCTAACTTCGAGAAGTTTGGTCTTATAAAAGAACGCGTAAAAACCTAGGTAGGTTGGCATCTGTTAGGAAATCTACGCTGATACTCCCGAGAAGCCTCTAAAGCATTTCCGTCACAGAACCCATACACAAAAATAATATCGGCGTACTCATCATTGCTAAATTCTATTTCACAACACTCAAAAATGGAAAAAAGAAAGTTTTGACTTAACTTTTACAAAAAAAACAGTGGCGTACTATTTTTTTTTTAAATAATGCCACTGATCCCTTGTATCGCCGCCACTGCTGCATGTTAATTTTAAATGTGGACAATAGTTAGGTAAATCCACATACCAAATTTTAGTTCATTCCAGTTGACGGTTTTGAAGATATTAAATATTAAGGAATGTAGGACCGACTGGATGTTCTATATGTTATAAGCAACAGTGACAATTCCTATACACCATGCTATAACAAAGTCAGAAGAGAGTACAATCTATTGTTAAGTAATGCCCGATATAAGTCATAGCAAAGACGTATACAAGAGTCAGATAATAAATCAAAATGTGTCTAGAGTATAGTAAAGGAAATAAAAGGTCAAAACAGGGATGACTGTGTTATTCCAGGTGATCCTGAAGTTATAGCAAATGCTTTTAATGAATACTGTATTAATGAAGTAATTAAAATATTACCACAGGCACCAATACATAACTCTTCTGACTTTTTAGACCATGTGCAAGAGTGTATGCCACTAGAATATGTTACTGCTCTAGAACTAGCAGAACTGGGCAAAAAACTTAAAAATAAAATGAGTAGTGGTGATGATGGCATTCCAGCTAGTATTTTAAAATATTGCTTAGTAGTAATTCTGGAACCTTTGGTTCACATAATATCTCATATAATCACTTAAGTACGGTATTTTCCCTGAAAAACTTAAATTAGCTATAATTATACCTATATATAAAAAACGAGATCCTAGTGACTTGCAAAATTATAGGCTAATAAGCTTACTTTCTTGTTTTGTAAAGCTTTTTGAGTTAGTGATGTATTCAAGAATTATGAATCATATGATATATGTAACAACTTAATTGCAGAGTCACAACATGGGTTTATAAAAGGGAAATCCATCAACACAGTGATCTATTCTTTCAGCCACAACATCATAGAATGCCTTGAAAATAATATGATATCGCTGGGTCTGTTTTTTGATCTCTCCAAAGCTTATGATTGTGTGGATCATTCTCTACTATTGAATAAACTCGAGACATATGTGATAAGGGGAAGTGCTTACAACTGGATTAAGTCTTATCTGACAGATCGTAAGCAAAGAGTTTTCATTACAAAGAATGAAATATCAGCCGTTTCATCACAGTTAACGGTAGAAAGAGGTATTCTACAAGGTAGCGTCTTAGGACCTCTCCTCTTTTTGATTTTTGTGAACAATCTGTGTGCTAGTATTACAAGCCCAAATAATGTATGCACGATCCAATACGCTGATGACACTAGTTTACTAGTCGCTGGCCAAGATTTCAACCATTTAGATAGTACTTTGAGCCTCTGCGAGAAAGCGTTTTTGTGGTTTGCTCGTAATGGATTATCTCTGAATACCTCAAAAACAAATGCGATTGTTTTTAAGTTAAGACAAAAAATCGTGTCTACAAACATCACCTTAGCAGAAAGAATAGAAGTCCCTCTGACAGACTGTGGAAAATTCTTGGGGGTTCATATTGACCAAGCACTATCCTGGGCTAAACATAAAGAACATCTAGAAAAAAGGTTAAACAATGCATGTTATAGTATTAGAGTGCTAAGCAAGTACCAAGACCTCAAGACTCTATAAATGGTATATTACGCGAATTTTGAATCCATTGTACGTTTTGGAATATTTTTTTTCGGACATAGTAGCCATACCAATAGGATCTTTCTAGTGCAAAAGCGAGTGCTGAGGTGCATCCTAAAAATTTCCTCTAGAGAGACTTGCAGAGGAAAATTTAAGAGTAATAAAACTGTAGCCGCAATATATATTCAAGAGATTCTATTCTAATTTTATCGGTAACCCACGAAGTGACTATAACACAAGAAATAGAAATATAAATCTTCTGTATCCAGTCCATCATCTCACGGTTACCGAAAAAAATGTCCATTACAGCTGCAATAAAATATATAATAAGTTACCACAAGAAATTAAAAGGTTAGCAGATATAAAAGAATATAAAAAGAGTATTTATCAATTGTTAATGCACTTAGAACCATATGACCTTCAAGAATATTTTGAAATGTAATATCTCTATTATGTTATATGTTTTGCCTCTTTGTTTTTTCTGTCTTGATGACACTGTGACATATTTCACCTAACAGTGTATAATACATTGTAATCATGCACTGTTATTTTGTAATAAAGATTTATTATTATTATTATTATTATTATTATTACTTGACTCGCTTAAATACAGTGTTTAGTCTCGACCGCTCTATTTAATTGTGAATAGGATTAACAAATACTGCCTTTCAAAAAGCAGAAGTTTTACTTACTTTTTGATAACTTGTTTTTGAAATATAGATTTTATTGTAACTGCCACTAAGGTAGCAATACGCTTCCACAAATTGTGGGATTTACGCATTTTTGTGACTGAAATTTGCGGGAAAGGGTATAGGCGGTTTCATACTTTAAGTATGGTAAAGCAATGAATAAAGTTTTGGATATACGCTGTCTTGCAGAAGGTGCATTGTAGATGAGACCGCAGGTGAGTGAGTCCATGAAAATAATTAACTGATCGAGTTCGCTAGCGAGAGCCTTAAGACAATATTATTTTCACAATCTCTTATGATTGAATTTGAAAACTGGCGTAATATTTTTGGCTGCTTCTGTCTCTGATAGAATGTTTTTCTTTGTATTGAATTAAACAAAGCATTTTTGGATTGAAATAGCCTTTTTCGATACTACTACCAATTTACACTGCCAATCCCAAAAAAATGGACAGAAGCATAAAGCTTTGTAAAGAGATCTGAAAAATATCCAGAGGTTTTTCGGATCGCTGATAACGAATCTCGTATCAAAATTATTATATTTTCAAAATTTCGAGACGGGAACTAGAAATCACTATTATGATAACAGTACTGAATCAAGTGTTTTTCTCAAAAACGACACGTTTAACCGAAATCTAACAAGAGCACAGTTTTTCAGCTGAAATATAAGACTTCCCAAAAATTATCGAATGAATATTATATAGGTATCAAAATTTAGCAATATTGTGTTACAGCTAGTCTACCCTTCTTGGCGAACTAAGCAAGTTAATCGTTTTCCATGAATACCTTCTTGTGAAGCCTCGACTAGTTACTACAACGTCAGATATTCGTTGGAATTATTGCTATTCATAAGTTATTTAAAAAAAAAGATTACTAGTGGCGTCCTATAAGGGTATAGGTATATCTCCAAAACGAACCTTTATTTCCAAATTCGTCAGAGGACAAAATTGTCTTGAAATAGTTTACATAATCTCCCCTAGAATGTTTGCCTATATATGCATATCCCTATAGTAATAATTTTATCATATCCACTTGGATAACATTACAGATATCCCCAATCAAGCCAGAAAAAAAGGTAAAACCAGCAGCTTTAGAGACTGCTGCTCCAGAAATAGAAGTATTATCTTTATCTCCATTTACACCAAATCCAAAACTATGCTTTGAGGATGTGATTCCTGGGCAAACTAGCACAAGAAAGCTACTAGTCAAAAATCCAACAAAAAATGATATAACTGTAAGTATATTGTGACTCAGGACTGATATAGAACTCTGTTACCGACCCGCTAAGCTACTCTAGGAAATAGGTTTTTTTGTGGCAGATCTTTTTGTTAGTATCTTCAGAATAGAATACTAATGATAAGGTTCTAATTGATTATAGGGCTGGAGCATTAGCAGCCATTTTGATAAACGTGCTTGATGGAATATCGATCCCATGTAAAAATGTAAAGGGTTTTCTCTTAATAATAACTGCACAACCTTCGTGTAAAAATTACCTTGCTAGACATGAGTCGCGAGACGTGTGCGCCCCCCTCTAGACGTATCCCAATCTTTGATCTTCAAATGTCACAAGGGCCACGTCTCTCAGAAGAGAACTTAAGTGCCTAAGCATGTAGCTTCACCCCGTTTGACAGATTCCTAAATCTGCCCTTGTGCCAGACTTTTGTCCATTCTCCTAGAGAACCATCAAGTTGTCGAACAAAATTCAAGGGACCTTTTTTGAAAAAACCTCATTTTCTTATGTTAATAAGAAAATTGCGTCAAATAGGTTGATTCTGCACTTCCCATGCATTGCTGTTAACAGTCTATAAACTATAATGTTCAGCGCAAACTAGACTCCTCTGAGAAAAAAGTCAGTCAAACAGGTCCACACAATTAGTCCATGGACATTCTTCCCTGCCCTACCGGTAGTCCATCTGGCATCGTCGCCTCTCCACGATAGCTAACCCGGCTAGACGTGCAGCACGGTCACAGCATAGGAAAAATTCTGCTGTGGCGCGACGGTAATACGTGTAACACCAGAACACTCACCAAGGCGGGAGTAGAAGTAGACGCGGCCGGTAGTTACGCGATTCGCCTGCTGAGGGTATTTTTAAGAGCGAAAACTATGATGTGTAAAATAGGTGCGTAGAATTACGAAGGTCAGGAGCGTATAAATAATATGCTATGACATTTTTTCCAAAAATGATCTGGATCATCTAAAACGTCAAAAAACAAAGTTTTTCGTTTTTTTTTTTTTCGTTTTTGGTCTTTCTCTCCGCCGCCACTAGACCGATTTTCAAAAACTACAAATCTTTTCCGTCTTTGGCATAGTAAAAATATAGTGTAAAAATTCATCAAAATCCGATCGGTACTTCTTAAGTTATAAGCGGTTATAGGATTAGCGGACAGAAAGACGGAAATGAAAAAAACATATCTCATTTTCGAAAATGTTCGCGATTACAATACTTCGCCACTAGTAGCCGTGGGACGTAAAACTATAAAAAAAGTCATATTTGGGTATTTAGCTTTAATGGCAGACGAAAAAGATTTGTGGGTTTTGGAAGGTGATTCAATGGTGGCAGAGTTACGGACAAAAAACGGAAAAAAATTGCCGTTTTGAAGTCCTGCTCATTTTGGGATTTCTTTGAAACTTGAGTTTGAAGGGGTGTGAACCACGTTTTGGTGTTGGTAATAATACGCACTTATTCGACATCATTTGTCATTGAAACAGAAATATAAGATACATTATCTATAACTTAAGATGTAGAGATTGGAGAATATGTCAATCTTAAGTAAGTTTCGATTCTATCTGAATCTTTTGAATAGATTCGACCCACGCTTTTTTAAAATTTGATTTTGGGATTTTAACCCTTTATCTGCATAAAAGGTTAATTTTAGAAGTTTGATTATTCGAGTTTTGCACTTATTGGAATTTTTGCATTGCATGGAAAATTGCAACATAAGCCGTAACGGAGGCGTCGGAGGTAAAGAGTCAATATGTTTAACGCCATGTTTTTGTGTTGCCTTTCTACGTGAGATAAAAATTGATTTTTTCTTCCAGCTATTTTTATCTATTAATGGTGCACCTGAACAGGTCTTGAGTCCCAGTTGGACGGAGAAGACTCTGGATAGTGGCTCAGAAACATTATTTGAGTTACAATGGACTCCAAAGGGGGTAGTTCTATGCAGGATTTACTTAGTGTTTGAGGATTACAAGAGATACAAAAGAGAGATACCCGTAGTTCTCAAAACTATATCACCAAAGGTTAGTTGAAACTATTTTTAATTTTTCGGTAACGTAAAAGATAAATAAAAAGTGAAAAATATTTCCAGAAATCAATGAAAGGGGCGAAAAAGAAGACAACGGCATCTCCCAGTAAGATGCCCACTGTTAAGTATTATACAAACAAGCCTCCAAAAGTATCGCCGACTAAATTTTCACCTAAGACTTTGTCCAAAAAAAAAACAAAATCGCCTATAAAACAACCAAAGACGTTATCCAAAACGCACATATCACCTAAATTTCAGACGCAGAACTGTATTACTCCTTCTCCAAAGCGTATTTTCCCATTTTCACCAAAACATTCTGGAAGCCCTCAAAATATGATACCTATCTCGGAGTTACCTGCTCGTGCCTTGCCCGTAAATCATGGCCAATCTTTCAAACATACATGTGTTGAAGATAAAGAAAACAGCGAAATGTTTACGTCACCACATAACTCGATGTTTTGGTTAAATTCGCCTGGAAGCATGCCAAGAAGGGATACTTATTCTATTAAGACCGACATTGAGGAAAGAAGAGGTACCTATTGTATAAAGACTGACATTGTGGAAAGACAGTGCACATATGTAGTTAATGAACGCATTATGGATGATGCAATGTTTATTTCTGAAAAACACACTGATTCTCCAAAGTTTAACGATAGTTTAGAGGGAGACTCTCCTTTAAAATCATGCAACATTACACCAAAAATTCCAAGAATTGTTCTCAATGAATATACTCGCGATAACACATATGATGACTTGTCGTTATCTACCTATATTAACAGGAAATTGGACGAGGATCCTCCACAACCCAAGAGTCCAGCATTTGTTTTTGAAAATACCTTCAGAGAGGCTTTCAAAGAAAACGTTCCATCATACAGTTCCTCCAATATGCACGACTGCAAAAACATTAGTAGTGCCTCGTATACTAAAACATATGTAGATGATACCTTAATCAATGGAAGAATCATGGAAAATAGTGTGCCATATAAATTATTGAACGTGAACGATATAATAAATATTAGTAGTGCCACTTACACTAAAACGGATATCTCTTTGGACACTGTAGCTAGCTTGTCACCCCACGAAATCAGGTATACATCATCTCCTAAACAATTTGGTGAAGCTGAATACGTCGCTCTTACTAGGAAACGGTTGAGTAAAATCGAAGAAGAACGGAACCCCATCGAAAGAAGCTTAAAACGTAGAAGAGACGAAAGATTTACCTCACCTCCTCGTAAAAGACCAAGCACATTTAGCTGGCTGAATGACTGGTCCAAAAGAAGTGGAGTAGCAGTGAGAGTAGCTAACAAAACTCCTGGTTTGAACCTAGGCCAGTTCCAGCCAAAGACAAAATCTGAAACCACTATTGCCAAAACGGATACAAGCACAGTCATTATCAAAGATCCCTTCTTATTAGCAGCTACAAACCTTGCAGATCCATTCATGACTCCTCAACTTCGCATCGATGAAGGCTGGATAGAACAGCAACAGGTTAACTTCAAAAAGTGGCTGAATGCCTTGCTTACTCCCCCTGAAGAGTTGTCGTCTGATGAGAAGTCAGTTGATGTAGCAAAAGTTTGGCAAGAATGCAAAACTAAGGAAGTACAACTTGCGCTCACGAAAGAAGTCATGTCCAATAAAAATTATACCAATCACAAGTTGGATAGGATCCGAAAAGCAGCAGTGGACTTATATATGTCACCAGAGATGACTCAGGTGCTGATAAACTTACACAAGTCCATTGATAGTGGCAAAATTTCTGTGAGGGCCGATAAGGATATACACCTGAACTTATCTTTGAAGACAGATATCATTAATCTTATAAATAATTACAATCCTCTATGGTTGAGGATTGGTATAGAAACAATCTATGGAGAAGAAATACCTATGCGATCTAATTCTGACGTCGTCAGTTTAAATGTGTTCATCGCAGACAGAATGCTGAAAGACCCCAACCTAATAAAAAAGCACAAAACAGTGCATGGAAAAACCTATAAAGTAGAGTTAAAGAAGTTCTTTTTGAAAAAATTCTTAACATTAGTCTACTTCCTGGATCAAGCAAAAAATAAAAAACTGATTCCACACGATCCTTGTCTATTCCGGAAGCAACATATCAAAGAACCTGTAAAAGAGAGTAAAGAACTTCTTTTCAGACTCGCCAAAGAAGTAGTGTCATCTATTGGAGATATCACAAAGTTTCTTAAGTATCTGGGTTACGTGGTGACTCATCGTCAAACCTACATTCATGAATTCGACTATGCAGTTCAGCACCTAGGTGTGGATCTCAGAGATGGTGTGAGATTAACCAAATTAATGGAGGTCATCCTGCTTCAGAATGATTTAGCAGATAAACTTAGAGTTCCCGCAATATCCAGATTACAAAAGATCCACAATGTCCAAATTGTATTTGATGCTTTACAGCAAGCTGGGTACAACATTTTGTATGACATCACACCCAAAGATATAGCCGATGGACACAAGGAAAAAACCTTGTCCTTTTTGTGGCAGATCATTTACAAATTTGAAGCACCTCTCTTAGTGAAGAGCGCCACTACTGTTCAGAAATGGTTTAGAAGCCTTCCCGTCGTTCTGAAAAGGAGGCATTTAGAAAGAGAAAAACTACGAAAAGAGAGTGCTGCCAAAAAGATACAGCAATGGTACAGGCGTCAAAACCTCAGCAAGAAACTTTCCGATCTTGCTTATAAAATGAGAATTTATAAAGAGTCCAAAGAACGACAACGAGCTGCTATTAAAATACAAACATACTACAGGGGCTATGTATGCAGGTATATATATTTGAGACAAAAGAGGCTAGTTACATCGCTGCAAAGCCATTGTAGGGGTTGGTTAGTCAGGAACGTTTATAAAAATCAGATACGCCACGTCGTCGTTATACAAAGTTATATAAGGATGTATTTAGCAAGAAAACAGTACCTTGAACTGAAAGATGCCACAATATTTGTGCAAAGAAGATATAGATCTTTAATGTTGATGAGGGAAGAAAGAAGTATTTTTGTTGAAGTTCGTTGTGCTACTATAGCCTTACAAAGAATGTTTAGAGCAAACAGGGTAATGGTTCAAGAACGAGAGAGATATCGACAACTTAGAAAATATGCTATTGTTATTCAGCAACGGCTCAGATCCAATAAGCTTGCTATTGCAGAAAGAAGTCGTTATTTGGCCTTGAAGAGTGCGTGTATCTTCGTACAGAAAAGATTCAGGGCCTTGCAGTTAATGAAAAAAGAGAGACAGGCTTTTCTTGAACTCAGGTCTGCTACAGTATTAATACAGAGACGCTTCAGAGCAAATAGGTTCATGGTTGAAGAACGAGAAAGATATCAGCAACTTAGGCGATCTGCTGTCGTCGTTCAACAACGGTTTAGAGCTAATAAGCTAGCTATTGTAGAAAGACAATGGTATTTGACCTTGAAGAGCGCGTGTACCTCTGTACAGAGAATATTCAGGGCCTTGCAATTATTAAAAAAAGAGAGATATGATTTTCTTGAACTCAGATCTGCTACAGTATTAATACAGAGACGTTTCAGAGCAAATAGGTTCATGGTTGAAGAACGAGAAAGATATCAGCAACTTAGGAGATCTGCTGTCGTCGTTCAACAACGGTTTAGAGCTAATAAGCTTGCAATTGAAAAGAGGGAACAATATTTGACGTTGAAAAATACTTGTATCTTTGTACAGATAAGATTTAGATCCTTGCTGCAAATGAAGAAAGATAGACATGCTTTTCTTGAACTCATATCTGCTACAGTATTTATACAGAGACGATTTAGAGCAAATAGGTTGATGGTTCAAGAACGAGAAAGTTATCAACAACTTAGGAAGGCTGCTATCGTCATTCAGCAACGGTTTAGAGCGAATAGACTTTGCAAAGCAGGAATACAGAATTACCTAGCATTTAGAAAATCCTGCGTTTTCGTACAAAGGAGATTCAGGGCCCTAAGAGATGGCAGAAAATGCAGAGAAAAGTATTTGCAAATGAAAAAGGCTGCTATAACTATACAGAGCACTTGGAGGGGCATCCTTCAGCACAGGAAATATGTGCATCTACGAAACGCCGTTATTGCAATTCAAAGGAACTTTAGAGAGAAACAAAGGCTTGTATCGACTTGTACCGCAATACAGAGACGATTTAGGGCTAATCGGCTGATGGGAATCGAAAGAAAAAGGTATTTGGCCCTCAGGACCTCTGCGATAGTTATCCAGCGTAAAGTTAGAGCTAAATTACTGTGCCGTGACATGAGAGAAAGGTTTGTCGAGTTGAGACAGACGTGTATATTTGTGCAACAAAGATGGAGAGCTCTTAGACAAGGCACTATCGCTCGCTGGCAATATTTGGAATTCAGGAAAGCTACAATAATAATTCAATGCACGTGGCGTGCTAATGTACAACGCAGAAGGTATTTGGTGATGAGGAATGCAACCATTACAATCCAGCACTGGTATAGGGCGACAGCGTTAATGAGGGCTAAAAGGCGGCGATATATAGAAGTGAGAGAAGCAGCACTTAAAATTCAAGGATGCTACCGAGGATATTTGGTGAGAAAAAGGCAACAAGCATTTAAACGATCCATAATTGGGATTCAGACATTTGCTAGAGGGTTTTTGGTCCGCAAATGGATCGCAGAGGGACTAGAGAAGATATTGCAGCAGAGAAAGCAGGTTCTGGCAGCAGTCAAGATCCAGGTAAACGTCTCTACTTATTTTCTTCAATCCTAAATACTAATCTACACAGGCTCCTGCTTTCATGGTCTATGTTTTAGTTGAAATTAAATTATCGCAATTTGTTTTAAAACATTTGTAATCAAAAATAGTAATAAATACACTGATCTACGACCGGGCGGTAAGTTGTACTTAGTGAATAGGTTTTCCAGGCTTCGTTCCGCTATGTTTAATAAACCTATGTTGAACACAATGTGGGAGTACCTGAACGGTCCTTATTAATCCGCTGCTGGGCTACGGTGCAACTATCGGTGATACAATAACGCAGCCAGTTATTGAATTTTAGTCCTACTTAAAAGCTATTCTAATTTGTTTATTTTAGCTGGTCGTAGATAAAACTAGGAAGTTTCCTATAGTCGGAAATACTGATAGTTTCACTTTCATACTCGTATAATAGTATAACTGGTATCTTTCACAAAGTGAAAGAATTATTCCGATAATTTAAAATTCAGGGAAGCTATGACATTTTCTGTGTTGGGGCTGTAGCCGACCGCCCTGGCGCGTCGAGATTCGGTCGTGACGACACGACATGTTCGGCTTCTGGGTCATGGTACTGACGCGGTCAAGCTGACCGGTCCAATATTGTTTGAATCTTGGCATAGAGAGCTGTGCGATATTATACATGTACAATAAATAAAATGGAAAGTTGTCTGCATATCGATTCCACTAATTTTCCGAATGTGGACTTGGGCATAATAGTGTTTAAATATACTATGCGAAACATTTATGCTTTGTTACAGATTAACATTTCCAATTAAACCCACTCGCGATCGGCGCCACAGTAGTTTAAAAAGTCCTGACAAAAAAATGATATCCATTTATCAAATATCAAACTGCCGGACTTTGCTAAATAATGTTTTGATTGAGCTCAAATTTAAGTTTTAGATGTTTTGAGGATCGCTGGTAACTGACTGATACTATTCGATTATATAAATTTTTTGGTCAGGTTTTTGGTTCCTGAACCACGCCTATGCATCTCCACGTCTCTCCAAGTCTCCCTACTCCATACCAATCGTTGCCGACAAATGCTGTGGGGTCAGAGGTAGTACAAGATGGTGACGACATGAAAACATTCCAAAAGACCGGCTATAAACTGTCCTCACTGCTCTTCCAACATCATCAAACCATTGGTTCGCAACTGCCCTTGTTGTGGAAATTCGATCTCTAAGTGCTAGTTGCCTCAAATAACGATCCTATCGCTATGTAGTCTGTCTTTCACGTCCAGTACCTCTAACTCGTCGATTTCGGCCTTCTTGGAACCACGCTCGACAACATCTCATTACAGTAACATCGTTTCGATTCAACTGATTAGCGATTTCTATAAAAGAAAATCCGGCTTCACGTAACCCAATTATCCGACCCCTCTCAAACTCGGAAAGTTGAATGAAATTAGCGCCTCTGCGAACTCTAGGCATGATAATGCAATGAAACAAATGTAACTAACACAGAAAAATCACTGATTATTAAGTAAACATGTTCATATTGTTTGGATTCTGATATGACAAAAAAAGCCTTTACAAAAAAAGTACGGCTCAACATTTTATCAACGTATACTGCCATGATAGCAAATATAATATATAATATAATAACAAGTTTTTATCAAAATTCAATGTATATTTTTTCACAGGTGAAAATTTTTTTCTGGCGCTGATATGCCTGTATTTGTACGTCTAAGTGCAATAGAGTATGTAAGTCGGTGGTCTGACCGATTTTTTACCCATGCTTACCATAAATCATAAATCCGGAGCAGAGCACGTTTGTAAATGGCGCGAAGCGTGCGCGGCGAGCTTATCGTTTTGTGGTTGCGATGGTAGCTGATGTCATGTGACTCGTTACGCACATATTACGCCTCAGAGACATGAATTGTTATATTTTGTAATAACACACCATGCTTTTAGGCCTCATGGAAAGGATTCATATGCAGAAAACGTTTGGGTAAAAAGCATTATGAGATCAGAAAAAGAGTTCTAAAAGAGGGAAAATGTGCCACTACAGAAAATACATTAGGTATGAGGGGACAGAAAGCAATGACTGTACTGGAAACAGACAACACTTTGTACACCATCATAAATGCATTAGAAGTTATTGGTAAGTGTTCCTGTGTTTTTATGTGATTTGAAGGGGACTCTAGATTTTAAAATACTTAAACATGTTGGCCTTTTCTCGCTCAATCAAACTCTATCAAGGGCAGGTCGGTACAACTGTTAGTGCATTCTTATGGCACAGTCTAGTAGTAGTACTAGAAAGATTTATTTAGCACATTTAGCTACTTGAACAGAATAATTGTAAACAACTTGGAATTAGTAAATTTAAGCCATATGTTATAAATGCTGGGTAAGCTATAATTGTAGATTTAACAAGTGATTCCTCAATTTTACTTTGAATTTTGTCAAAGTTTTCTGGTCTTTTATCTCGGTATATAATTTATTATATTCAATCAACCCTTGATGGAATACAGATTTGTAGCATATGTTATACGTCATTAAAAGGAAGGCATATTTATTTCTGGTATTATGTAAATGATGGTCGGCATTTGATGATGTTAAATTACTTAGACTTGGTGGAAATATATTATTTTTAACTTTATAAATGAATATCATTACAAGATATTTGATAAAAATTTTTACATTGAGCCATTTTAATTTGCTAAGCATTTGTCTAATTGGGGTATATTTATCTGTATTCAGTATTATTCTCATGCACTTGTTTTGTAAAATATGCACTCTTTCAAAATTGGAATTTTTTGATAAATATAGAATAGTCGAACAGTACAAGAAATTTGGAAGAATGATAGTATTATAGATAATTATGCTGTATGAACTCAAACATCCAGAAATTCTTGATAAATATCCCACTTTACTACTAATCTTATTTAGAACTTTTCCATAATGAATATCAAAAATGAATCGAGACTCAACAAAAAACCCCAAGGTATTTAAAATTATCTATGAATTCGACATCTTCACCATCAATATTTAGTTGAACATTTGTACATTGTTTTTTTCCAATTAATATAGTCTACCAAGAAATATATTACTCCGTTCTACTGACCTTAGCCAGTTCAAAGCCAGCATTAAGGCATTTTTAACTCGTTTTCAGTAATACTTATAATACTGTATGTGTGTTGAAAAAAGGTAAAGTTATACCAGTATTTAAACAGGGTGATGCCACTGGTGTCAATAACTACAGGCTGGTGATGTGCCTTCCTGTTTACCAAAAATATTCGAATACGGCTTTTTAGATAGATTGTACATGTATATTGCCAAAAATAATATACTAACAGAAAAACAACATGTTTTGTACAGATAAATCAATAACTACGGCTATTCACTCTTTTTATGGGCTATTGATTTATCTGGTTGAGGAGGGCGAGTGCCCTATTGGGATCTTCTATGATCTTAGCAGGGTGTTTGGCTGTGTTAACTATGATCCTTCCCTGAATAAACTTGAAATGTATGGAGTCACTGGTAACTTAAATTGCTCAAAACATTTTTACAGAACAGATCACAGTATGTCACATAATTATGGTTCATAAATTAAACGAGTTCAATCTTCACGAGTCGATATTGATATGAGAGTTCCAAAGTGATCTTGGGGCATATCATATTTATATTGTATATAAAAGATCTGGGTGTATTGTTTAACAATCAGGTGAATATTATGTGCGGATGACGCCTCATTAATACTGTCGGGAAATGAAAGGTAACAGAATTCATGATAGTTTAAAACTTGAATGAATGATTTGCTCAGAATTGTTTATTTTTGAATTCCGAAAAGACTGCAATTGGTAAGGCTTGTTAATGCAATGAAAAAATTCAGTGATCTAAATCTGAAACTGAATGACAAACCACTAAAGCTGCGCAATAATACTAAATTTCTATATTTAGATGAAGTTTTGAAATTCAAAGTTCACTGCTGTCTTATAATATTAGCAGAATTCTTATCCTTACCATGTACATATAAAAATCTATGGACAGTCCTTAGCGATTCTTTACTATGTATAGATTGAGGTATGGTCTTTGTTTTTGGTGTTCTTCTACCTCCACCGCTGATGTATTTCTACGCCTTAAAAGAACAATTAGAAACATTGCAAACATGAATAGTATGCATAGTTGTAAGGAAATATAAGATACGTAGCCTACTTAGTTTATAAGATATATATATAACAAAAAGTAGGGAAATAATGGGCAAAATCAGCAAAAAGGATGAAAGTGGATTCGAGCAGAAAATAGATAGGTAACCGGAACGATACGGATTTCTGCTGGTTGGCTTCATCAGGCCCGAAATGAATGTACATATGCAACTACAAAAGCAGATTCACATGTCCACACATCCGGATACGGGTATAACCTGAGGAAACTAAGATGGAGAGGGAAAAAAATCGACACACGAAGTCCACAACAAGAGCCAACCTACACATTGTAGTATAAAATGGCTAGAAGACCTCGAATTTTCAAGCAGACATCTAACCACAACCACGCGGCCGGTTATAGCCACTTGCTGTGGTACTTCAGGCCCAAAGGATCTACAAAGATCTTGTAGTAATTAATGCATTTTAATCTTCTTTAATTTTTTCCAGATCTGGTTACTAGAAGGAGTTCCAAACTCTGCACGGATTACAGTAAAACACTGCCAAAACTTCTAACGGGCATAATGGGATCAATCAATCGCTCATTACCAGAGACCCAAGCCTGCATAATCAGTACAAACATCATGATCAATTTCTACAAACACAAAGACTCCAGACCGTTCAGCGTTGTGCCTGAAAGCTTAGACGCCTTTTTTAAAATTATGCTGCACTTTTGCGACAAAGAATGCGAACTGTTCCCCTCTCTATGTACGCTTCTCTGGTTATATGCACATGATGCAAATTGGAAAAGGGTTATTCGGGGTGTACCGGATATAGAGCATATATTGATGAAGATTCAAGATTTGGTTATTCGAAAGAAAAATATGTTACAAAAAACCACCACAAAACAGAAATCAGTGTTTGTAGCAGAAAGATGCAAACTACCGAATTTGAACGCGGATTGGGGATACGAGCTAAATAACAAACCATACAAGTTTCATAATTCCATATTTGGATTTGAACAGTTATTAAAGATTTTAGATTATTGATGTTTTTATATATCATGTATTGTACAATATTATTCAAGTTTTATTATACTGATTGTTTTAATTTTTGAATATACGCCCTTTTGATGCACTTTATTTTTTATCTCTCTAAGATTCGTAATTCCATATTTGTATTTGAACAGTTATTAAATATTTTAGTTTACTGATGTTTTTATAACTATCACTACAAAAAAAAAAATGAAATGAAAAATGTATGTGAATTTAATTAATAGTTATTATTCATAATTCCATATTTGGATTTAAACAGTTATTAAAGATTTCAGATTAGTGATGTGTTTTTATAACTAAGATCACTAAAAACAAATAATATGTAAATATTCAATGAAAAAATGTTTGTGAATTTGAACAATATTTGTTTCCTATATTTTGTACTATATTATTCAAGTTTCATTATACTGGTTGTTTTAACGCACTTTTTCGTTATTTCTTCTCTCTCTCTCTCTATATATATATATATACATATACAGGGTGTTAATAAAGTATGTAGACAAACTTTAACCATCGAATCCTTGGTCAATTTGAAGACGAAATTTCCTTATGAACATGGGTCCGCAACGGCTTTGTTTTCAAGTTAGAGCATATTAGCAGTAAAAGAAATGATATTGTTATAAAAAATTATAAAAGAATAGAATGTATTTTATTTTAACTAAGTATGCCCTGTGGTGAATATTGCATGATTTACAGTTGCTTTCAGACATGATATTGATTTGTTTCGATCGCAATACTTGTAATATGCATTGTGCTTATCTAGACACCTATGACGTACCCGAAAACAATTGAATTGATTTATTTTCTCAGATAATTCGACAGTTGTCAAATATTTGTTTTATTGTCTGGTCATTCTAAGTCTCCAAATATTTCTAAGTTATGGTGATATGTCATAACGGTCCAGTTCAGTAATCAAGAAATGACATATGCATTTCGTTTACGGAATGACTTTGGATAACGTTCATGTTTAGCCTCAGCAACTTGTAAAACATGCAAAATGTATCATAGGTTATACTAACTGTTCAATAAATACGTTTCATTATTCATAGAAATATTTGGAACATTATTCGTATTTCTTTAGTGATAATGGTCTAGCTCGAAAAGAAAGCCGTTTCAGACCCATGTTCATATGAACATTTAGTCTTCAAATTGACCAAGGATTCGATGATTAAAGTTTGTCTACATACTTTATTAACACCCTGTATATACAGGGTGTCGCATCGGGAACTCCATCGATAGATTTTTTTTTATATTCCAACTACCATGAAGGCCTAAGGCCTAAACACCCATTGGGTACCGTGGGGCTATGAAAAGTAGGCATATGATATTTTTGAAAATTTGGGAATAACTAATGTCGATGGGGCTACGGCAGCTAAAATATTTTCAAGATGGTGGCACTTCGGTTATACCGGAAGTTGATGCTTACTTGCTTATTTTAAATTGGACACCCTATATATTACTCAATATTCGGATTCTACATAGGATTCTAATCACATTTCATTTATACAGGGTGATTGGAAATTCGACCTATTCTCTGAGAGTGGTGATTCTAGAGGTCATTTGTGATAAATTATCATCATCTGGGGGGTCGGAAATGAGCGGTTTCCGAGATATCGGCATTTCAAGATTTTTTAAGAATTTTCTGCTTACTGATCAATACATTTTTTTTAAATCTATTCATTTCTTGGAACTGAATGGATGGTTTTTTGAAAGCTGTGAAACTAGCAAATAATTGAGATAAGAACGCTATACCAAAAGATTGAAACTGTCAGAAATAAAAGGCTGTTAGTGAGAAGATTTTGATTTTTGTTTATTATTTCAGAAAATCATCATAAGTTATTTGCAATAAAATGTATGACATTCGGCATATATATTACTAAAATAATTGCAGAATTTCATGAGCTTTCAAAGACAGTATAAATTTAACTTTTTCATGCATATCCTAAAAAAACCGTACAAAGGATACTGTAGGTACAACTATATTTTTAAATTAAATGAGCTCGGTAAAGTTTGAAATCTAATTAATTGAAGAAAAACAGGTACTGTACAAACACAACGTTGGTACTTAAAAACTATAAATCTTGTTCAAATTGCCTGCCATTGTTACGTATGCAAGCACGTAGCCTACGACGTAGTTGGGTCACTGTCACTTTTGTTGAAAGAGTGCGTTTCATCTCGTCGGTGGCTGTCAAAATCCTCTGCCTCAAATCTTCGATATCTGCAACGGATGTATTGTACACAAATTGTTTCATGTGACCCCAAATGTAAAAATCGCAAGGCGTCAAGTCCGGACTTCTCGCCGGCCACGGCGTTGGGCCTCCTCGACCGATCCATCTCTGCGGATACTTTTCATCCAGCCATTGTCGTACACCTCGAAAATAATGGGCTGGGCAGCCATCATGCTGGTATATCATATTGATTCTCTGGATTAAATGAAAAAATTTAAAATAATGGTTATCTGAAAGAAAAGGTTAAAAATTAGTTAATTGACATGTTTCGACATTTTAATCTGATATTTTATTTTGGTGGTATACTACCCCTGAATCCTATTCAAACCGTAGACCGGAATGCGTCATTTTTTCATATGTAATTGTAGGGGAGAAAACCAACCTTAAAAGTTACCTTCGAAAAGTTTCTCGTGAATTGCTTCAAACCTGGTAAGAAGACATTTTTCTCCCTAACAGTTTTTCTACTAAACTCATGGAGAGGATAATGTAATAGCACCGTAAGACAAGTTGTTACAGCGGACAAAGGCTTTCAATTGATGACTGTCCCAAGAGAACCACAGGACAAATTAGAGAAATATGAGATGCTGTTATTTTATTTCGGTCAATATTAATTTTACATGAAAGAGATAATATAAAATTACAATCTCTCACACATAACCAATTATCAAAATAGATATTTAAATTTTGTAGATTACCTGTATTGTTCACATTATATAGAGTAATAAAAAATGTAAATATGTACATATTTCTGAAATAAAGAGATGTCTACATGATTAGAGTTGTTCTTACAATCAGGAATAGCTCACGCCTGAAAAAAATAGACAAAAACTGGAACAAGTCAATTGATTTTCATCACTTGCTATTAAAAATGCATTATTATTAAATAACAATTTTATAAAATTTTACGCGAACGAAACGCTCGAAAAATATAAGGTTTTAACCCTTGGAAACAAAACGAAGTGAGTTCTTCCCGTTTTATAATATTACAAAATATTGAAAAACAATCAGTGATATTGACAAAAAAACTTTCAGGGGTGACTTTTGAGGGTCCGTCCAATTACCATGAATGCAGAATGCCCTTGAATAAGATTTAGTGATAGTTTACCACCTAAATAAAATATTAGATTACACCGGAACGCGTCTATTGATTTTCATCATTTTATATTAGAAAACCATTATTTGAAATTTGTATGACATTTTTCCGATTTTTCGCGGGAAAGAAACTCTCGAAAAATACGGGTTGTAACCCTCGCAAACAAAACTTATACTCTTTTCAATACAAAACATTTGAAAAAATCAGGGATATTGGCAAAAAAATTAGGAGGTTGTTTTTAAGGGTGATTTTCATCGCTCCAATTACTATTAATGCACAATATGCTAATCTGTGTCTCCTATTTTGCGCTAACATATAAAAAAATGACGCATTTTGGTATATATGGTTTGAATAGTATATATGGGTAGTTTACCCCCAAAATAAAATATTAGATTAAAAAGCATCATTGTCGATTAGAAAACCTTCATTTAATATTTGTGTGACGATTTTCTATTTTTACGCAAAAAAACGCTCGCCAGCCCCTATAAAGTGTGGGGGTTGCAACCCTAGCAAACAAAACCTGTACAGGTTTGTTGCGCTTTTTCAAACTAATATTTTCCATTATTGTTTCTTCAAAAATATTAAATAGAACCAAAGATATACAAAGAAATCTGATTTTAGGGGTGAACTTTCTGGGTGGCTTTCACCCTCTTAGAGTGCATGTCAGTCGATGAAAAAATAGGTGTCTTATATTTTTCAATTAACTGCAGCATATCCAAATGTCAGCGAAATCGGAGGCGGAGGGCTTCCTTGTTGATTTGCCATGACGCTGCTACAGCGTGATGTATTTAGTATTTCGTTCTATTTCAACCATGGCCAACCCAGATTAACTCATTACAAAAGCCTTATAGATCACTTAAGCGATGTCTGGGAATCTTATACAAAACTAATCCCATTTTGAATGGTCAATACGTTGACATTTTTAGAAAGGCAGTTTCTATTTGGGTTATCTTGATTTTGGTGTATTCTCCTTTGTTATTTTTCGTAAGCGTATTATTGTCCTATGCCTATTTGTTCGTATACTTTTTCCTACGTTTTTTGGCCTAGTTATACGTATTCACTTCTACTATCCTGGCCACTGTCTTGAAATATAATCGATATTTCGTTGCTCGCTAATAAGTATTTTGTCAGGTGACTTTATCAGTGCCTTTTTGAAAAGTGAATTTCGTGGATATATGAATAGATGTCTGAGCATTGAATCTCTTTTATTTATGGATCCGATTAAACACACTGCGGGCGAACTCTGTTTCGTAAGCTTCGATTTCATGGAATACAAATTGATCGCTGTCGTCAGTTTGATCAGTTGAAAAAAATAACGCTATCATAAATGAATTTAAACAAAGTACAACTTGATGTTACTACCATGCATGTAGTGTAGTAAGTATTTTAGTATAACGTAGCTTAGCCTCAGTGATAAAAAACCACGCTGTAGCTGAACTGTGGAAACCATTTTTCTTATCGTGTCTGATCTTCATATATGAGGGAAGTAGTTACCACTACTTTTCTCATCGATTTTCACACTGTTTTTGAATTTCCAAGTTTATTCCACTGGTTACTTCCTTTATTGGTACGGATGAAATTACCTTTCCTCTTTCCATCCATGATCCAAAAAACAACATTTCATTTTCATAATTTTTTCGCAATTACCATACCTCCTTAACAGTGGCATAGGAAGTACAAAGTTACCTACGGACGTGTAAAATAGAAATTAAATGCATTGAATCAGTCAAACAGACCCATGCTATTAGTCCATAGACATCTTTTTCCTGCCCTAACGGTTGTACCGTCCACCTGGCAACGTCTCCCCAACCCCATCCATCCCCTCTAGATGAACCCACCAATTTTGGCAGCGTGCGCATGGCAGTGATAGAATGGCCCCTATGAGAGACACTGTCACGCCGGCCAAGACATTTTTCTAGTATTCTTAAGTTTTACGGGAAAATGTACGAAGAAATCTATGACAAGTGGAATGCACACTAATAATTACGTTGAATGACTGCGGTTGGAAACTGATAAATATACGTGTGCCATCAAATTGTAATATTCCCTCTTCAACCCCCTACAACCCCCAACCACGATTTTCAACCCCT